ACCTGAACAGACATTTCTCCAAAGAAGACATACAGATGACCACCAGACACATGAAAAGATGCTCAATATCACTAATCATCAGGAAAATGCAAACCACAATCACAATGAAATAGTACCTCACCCCTGTCAGAATGGCTAAAACTAAAAACAAAACAAACAACAATTGTTGGTGAGGATGTAGAGAAAAAAAAACAAAACACTTGTACACTGTTTGCGGGAATGCAAACTGGTGTAGCCACTGTGGAAAACAGTATGGAGATTCCTAAAAACAAAACAAAACAAAAAAATAAACAAAAAAACCAACTACCATATACCATATGATCCGGTAATTCTGCTACCCGGTATTTATCCAAAGAATACAAAAACACTAATTCAAAAAGGACACCTGGGTGGCTTAGTTGGTTAAGTGTCCAACTTTGACTCAGGTCATGATCTCATTGGTTCACAGATCCGGACCCCACTTTGGGCTCTCTGCTGTTAGCACAGAGCCTGATTCAGATCCTCTGTTCTCTGCCTCTACCCCATTTGCACATGCACCCTCTTACCCTCTCTCTCAAAAATAAATAAACATTTAAAAACAAACATAAAAAAGAAATGATTGGGGGTACCTGAGTGGCTCAATCAGTTAAGTGCCTAACTCTTGATTTCAGTTCAGTCATGATCTCATGGTTTGTGGATTCGAGCCCACATCTGCGCTGGACCATGTGGAGCCTGATTGGAATTCTCTCTCTCTCCCTCTCTCTCTGCCCCTCCCCTGCTCTCTTTCTCTCAAAAAATAAATTAACTAAAAAAAACCCCTCCACTTATTTAAAATGATTTATGCATCCCTATACTTGTTGCAGCATTATTTTCTTCTTTTTTTTTTTTTTACAAATAGTTTATTGTCAAGTTGGTTTCCATATAACACCCAATGCTCATCCCCACAAGTGCCCTCCTCCATGCGCATCTCCCCCCTCCCCCCCACACCCATGAGTCCTCAGTTTGTTCTCAGCATTCAAGAGTCTCTCATGGTTTACCTCTCTCCCTTTCCCCCACCATTTCTCCCCATCTTCTCCCCCATAGTCCTCCGTTAATTTCCTCCTAATCCTCCTATACATGCAAACATATGATATTTGTCCTTCTCTGCCTGACTTATTTCGCTCAGCATAACACCCTCGCATGTACCCCAATGTTCATAGCAGCACTCTCAACAATGACTAAAACATGGAAAGAGCCTAAGTGTCCATCAACTGACGAATGGATCAAGAAGATGTGGTTTATCTATATGATGGAATACTACATGGCAATGAGAAAGAATGAAATCTGGCCATGTGTAGCAACATGGATGGATCTTGAGGGTGTTATGCTGTTGCAGCATTATTTTCAATAGCCAAATTATGGAAGCAGCGCACATATCCATTGACATATGAATGGATAAAGAAAAAGGAAGATATAAAATGGAATATTATTCATCCATAAAAAAGAATGAAATCTTCCCATTTGCAACAACATAGATAGATCTAGAGAGTATAATGCTAAGTGAAATAGGTCAGTCAGAGAAAGACAAATATCATATGATTTCACTCCTATATGGAATTTAATAAAGCAAGCAAACAAAAAAAGAAACAAAAAACAAAAAAACAAAAAAACCCAGACTCTTAGGTAGAGATACACAAACTGATAGGTAGCAGGGTGGGGGGATGGGTGAAAGAGGTTAAGGGGATTAAAAGTACTTGAATCACAATGAACACTGAGTAATATAAAGAATTGGTGAATCATTATATTGTACACCTGAAACTAACATAATACCATAATACCGAATGTTAACTATACTGGAATTAAAAAAAAAAACAACAACTATGATCATCTCAATAGATGCAGAACAAGCATCTGACAAAATTCAACATCTGTTTATGATAAAAAATCTCAACAAAGTAGGTTTAGAGGGAATATACCTCAACATAAGTCCATATATGCCAAGCCCACAGCTAACATCATAATCACTGGGGAAAAACTGAGAGCTTTTCCTCTAAGATCGGGAACAAGACAAGGATGTCCCCACTTGCCAATATTATTCAACATAGTAATGAAAATCCTAGCCACAGCACTCAGACAAGCAACAGAAATAAAAGGTATCCAAATCAGTAAGGAAGAAGTAAAATTGTCTTCATTTGCAGATGACATGATAACACATAAAAAACCTAAAGACTCTACCAAAAATCTATTAAAACTGATAAATGAATTCTGTAACATTGTAGAATATAAAATTATATACAGAAATCTGCCACATTTATATACACTAATAGGAGTAGCAGAAAGAGAAATTAAGAAAACAATCCCATTTACAATTATGCCCAAAATAATAAAATACCTAGGAATAAATTCAACCTAGAGATCTATAAATTTAATGCAATCTCTATCAAAATACCAACAGCATTTTTTGCAGAATTAGAATAATCCTAACATTTATATGGAACCACAAAATGCCCTGACTGGCAAAAGCAATCCTGAAAATGAAGAACAAGATGGGGGAGGGAGAGGAGAGGAATATCACAATCTCAGATTTCAAACTATACTACAAAACTACAGTAACCAAACAGTCCAGTACTGGCATGAAAATATACATATATATCATTGGAACAGAATAGAGAACCCAGAAATAAACCCACACGCACAAGGTCAATTAATCTGTGGCAAAGGAGGCAAGATTATAGAAAGAGGGAAAAGACAGTCTCTTCAGTAAACAACGTCGGGAAAACTGAACAGCTACATGCAAAAGAATGAAACTGGACCACTTTCTTACATCACACACAAAAACTCAAAATGCATTAAAGACCTAAATGTGAGGCCTGAAACCATAAAACTCCTAAATGAAAACAGATAATAATGTCTTAGATATCGGTCTTAGCAGTATTTTCCTAGATATGACTCCTCAGGCAAAAGAAACAAAAGTAAACTATTGGGACTATATCAAAATAAAAAGCTTTTGTACATTGAAAGAAACCATCAACAAAATAAACAAAAACTTACTAAATCAAATAAGATAGTCACAAAACATATATTTGATAAAGGGTTAATATCTGAAATACATAAAGAACTTACACAACTCAACCCCAAGAAAACAAATAATCCAATTAAAAAATGGGTAGAGCACCTGAATAGACATTTTTTCCAAAGACATATAGATGACCAACAAACACATGAAAAGATGCTCAACATCACTCATCATCATGGAAATGCAAATCAAAACCACATTAAGATATCAACCCACACCAGCCAGAATGGCTAGTATCAAAAAGACAAGAAATAACAAGTGTTGGCAAGGATGTGGAGAAAAGGGAACCTTTATGCACTGTTGATGGGGATGTAAACTGCTGCAACCACTATTGGAAACTGTATGGAGGTTCTTAAAAAATCTTAAATAGAACTAACACAAGATCCAGTAACTCCACTACTGGGTATTTACCCCCCACCCACAAAATGAAAGCACTATTAAAAAGATATATGTACCTCTATGTTTATTGCAGCATTATTTTCAGTAGTCAAATAATGGAAGCAGCTCAAGTATCCATTGGTATATGAATGGATAAAGAAGTGATATAATATAAATATGTGTGTATAGTATAATTATTACAATAATCTATATCTGTATATAATGGAATTATTACTCAACCATAAAAAAGAATAAGATCATGCCATCTGTGACAATATAGATGGACCTAAAGGGTATTAAGCTAAGTAAAGTAAGTCAGAAAAGACAAATACCACACAATTTCATTTATGTGTACGGCCTAAAAAACAAAACAAAATGAACAAACGAAAACACCAGAAACTGAATCATGAATACAGAGAACACACTGGTGGTTGCCAGTGGGGAGTAGAGTAGGGAGATGAGTAAAATACATGAAAAGGATGATGGCATACAGACTTTTAAAAAAGTGATTGTGTCTTCTAAATACAAACATCTCAAAGTTACTGTTAGTATTTAAGTTATCTCATTTTCCTATTTCTCTTTGTCCTTGACATGGAAATTCAACAAGTTCCATCCGGGTTACAAAATGAGTGTCCTCCAAGTGAGAGAGGATAGAACCTTCCTCCCCAGTAGACAACCCTTTCAAAGGAGAACAGTTTAGATCTTTCCAAGAATTGGATTGGAAAAACAGATTGATAATATGATGTTAATAACTTATGCCTCGTAGACTCCTTCTGTACCAGTGAAAAGGTAGCCATTAGGGGTTTGCAGGAGTATATGGGTGTGGATGAAACAAGACTGGGAGTGAGTAGAATACTACCAAAATTGGGTCATGGGTACATGAGATTCATTATACTAGTCTCCTTTTTTCATAATCAAAAGGCTTTAAAAAAGTGAAGGTAATATAAAACTAAAATAACAAATACCCCCAAATAATCAGTAAGAATGGAAGAGTAAACAGGAATGAAGAATTTAGGATGGTATGTGTAACTACAATCCACGGGTAATGCAAAAACATTGACTTAGCCAATAACTTAAATTCCTTCCCTCCATGCACATGGCTCCTACCTGGATATATTACCCATTACTATGCCCATCAAAATGGATTTCCTGGGCTTTTACTTTGCCTGCCCTGTCTTTGATGAAACATTTCCTAGTCAAGCAGCCCAGAGTGGTTAAAAAAAAAAAAAAAAAAAAAACTGGCAAAGAATCTAGACAAGCCACAAGGTGTGCAAGGCAATCCATGAATATCAAAAAGTGATAACCTAAACAATAGAAGGTTTAGTTAAAAAAGGATGTGATGGGCCATTAATTTCCACCTTGAATTTTAAACTAATCACTCAAAAAGTCACAGAAAGTTCTATTCTTTCCAATTACATTGCTCTTTAAAGAGGAGGTGCTCGGCAAATAAATGTTAATTAGCTAAAATGGTATCCTTGGTTCAATGGTTCAATTATACATGGCCATGACTACCAATACTCGACTTTTAAATTTATGCCACAATGAAAAAGTGTTTTTTGGTAAATCCAATATATGAGGCATGTTCTACCTGATATCCAAAGAAGACCATCAGCCACATATCCAGCATGGCATGAAAGGGATCGGTCAAAGGACTGCACAAAAGTCCATTTGTTCTTCTTGGGGCAGTATCGCTCAACTGTAGGCAGAACCTGGCGTAGTTCATTTCTACCCCCGACTGCATAGAGGTATTCATCCATGGCACCCAGCACAAAATGCTCCCGGCAGTTTTTCATGGGTGCTATCTCTGCCCAGGAATTACTGCGGGGGTCATAGCGACAGGCAGTCCTCACGGCACACGTCCGGCCACTAGCATGCTCAACTTCTCCTCCTGCTACAAACAGAAAGTCCCCCATGACTGCTACACAGTGGTGGCTCCTTCCCACGGGCATGGGAGCCAGCTCGCTCCAGTTGGCAATGGCAGCTATGAGAGCATTCTCCTGGTCAAGAGGATTGAAGTACCGAAGTTCCTTGACTTTACAGACCTCACGTTTTTTCCCACCAATGATATACAGAGTGTCTGACTGGAACCGTGGTTTGGTCCTGCGAGTTTGCCAAACGGGCTGTGCATAGATGCTCTGGTGGTACTCCAGCGCCTCATTGACAAGAGCTGTTGCAGTTTCACTTGCCTGGACGAGGGGGTGGGACAGGGCAACTGTATGGAGCGTGTCCACATCCATGAGGCCAAAGCGGATATACTGCAGGAGCTCATCCATGTACTGGTAATGGCAGTTGTGTTCCAACCACCTCACGGCTAGCTGAAACAGAGGGAGGGGGGAGGGAGGAAGGGGGATGAGAGAACGCAAAGGTAAGGTAAGAAAGCAAGGCAAAGCAATGGTGTACAGGCAGGTCACCTTGTATTCTTTCAGGCACTTTATAAATGTATGATAAGATACATGTTTTTTCTTACAAATAGTGTAACTAGAATATTTTGGTACTCAGCTGAGGGATATTTTTTCTGCATCAGCAGAGACACAAAAGAGCTCAAGCATCGTTGTAGAGGTCAAGAGCAATGTTAAGCAACACTAGCAAAGACTTAAGGTGGCACTTGGGATGAACAATAATCACTTTTCAAAGAAAAAGAACACTGTTGTTAAACAGCCTGTCTCCTTGTTTCATGCATAAGAGGCTTGGTACACCCCACCCTAGGAATATCTATGGTGAGCAGAGTCACCACAGTACAAGTGGTGTATGTCAGCCCAGAAGTCAAGGTGCTGTATCAATTTGAGCGCATATGAAAATATGAGATCACCTGAGACCATGAGGTATACTTGGGAGAGACTCAATAGGACATTAGTAGAACGACTTAGAAACAAAGAGCACTCGGGGCGCCTGGGTGGCTTAGTCGGTTAAGCATCCGACTTTCGCTTAGGTCATGATCTCGCGGTTCGTGGGTTCGAGCCCCGCGTCGGGCTCTGTGCTGACTGCCAGCTCAGAGCCTGGAGCCTGTTTCAGTCTGTGACTCCCTCTCTCTCTGACCCTCCCCTGCTCTGACTGTCTCTCTCTCTCCTAGAAATAAATAAAACATAAAAAAAAAATTTTTAAGAAACAAAGAGCACTCTTCCTGTCCCCCTTCATAGGTCTAATCAGTCAGGAAACAAGAGAAGAAAAAGACTGTAACCCATCAATTTTATTTTTATTTCCCAATGAGTTTTTATCTTGGAAACATTTGTTGTCTGTACATACAAGATACTGGCCACTTGTTAGACCCGTTTTCACAGAACAGGATATGGAGGAGATTATCTTTGTATTATGGACACAATAGTGAAATGTAATCTTAACCTTTTTGTTTAGGTCTAGATTTCTTTCAAGAAGGAAAAAAAGTAAGAACTCTGGGATACAGACATATAGAATTTCTTCAAACTAAAGGTATACAAAGTCGTTACTGTACAATAATTTAGAAAATACTATCAACAAAAAACCAACTCGTGTTATAGAGCACATTATGTAGTTTAATTAATGTGACTTAATATTTAAGTTTGGCAGATTTTCCTACATACCAACATGAAATATATCTAATATCTCCAGGCAACAACACATTTGATACAAATTGTCCTTAGTGGCACCTATATTAAGCTAGATTTCCTAGATAATATAAATGTGAATGTGAAGGAATTAGCATGAAAAAGTAAAGTAATAAATTAGAATATTAAGTAATTGTGTTTTATTTATGACCAATGAAATTGGGGTTCTGGCTCCCCTTTTCAGCTGATATGCATCACTGGGGAAAAAAAGTCTTCAGAGGGGATAGAGGAAATGTAGTGCTCTTGGACCATTACTCCTAGGCAAACATGAGCTGGGTTTTCAACTGGGTTAAAAGGATCATGAAACTCTCTGAAGCACTAGTTGATTTCATTTGAGAGCTTCATACAGAGTTTCTATACTCATTTTGACAAATGGCTCCAAAAGACAAGGCATATTTGGGGCTTTCCTTTTTAGCTTTCTGAATGAAGAGAATATAGGAAATTAAATCACTTCTAATATATACTAAATTGCATCTCTTGATGAACTACATAGTGAAGACAAATGAAAAAATAATCCGAGGTAGCCTACCACTGGCAAGGAGGCAGACAGCATGGAGGGCAGATGACTGACATTCTCTAGCTGTTTTTCTAGAAGCTGGCTTTTTTTTTTTTTTTTTAACTTAAATAAGATACCAACCTGATGAAAAAATGTATCTGTGTATGGTAACCATGAACAATAATCAAAGATATTGTAGAAGAAAAACATCACTAAGCAATCACCAGGAGGAATATGCCAGAAGTAGAGAGGGTTCCCATAGGCAACTTCCTGATTTTTTTTCCACCCTAATTTTAGAAATTTTGAGGGATGGCATTCCAATCATTTCCCTGGGAAGATAATTCAACAATTTAATGAACAATCTTCCATTCTTTGCCCAAAGAGCTTTCAAAAGTTTTCAGGGATAAAGTCATCCATTCAAAGCCCTTTCTCATGCACCAGGTAAAATTTTCTGAGACTTAATCTTTGATATTGCTCCTAATTTAAATGAGTTTTTCTAGCTGATACTGCTTTGCTCTGTTACAGATTTCTCAGCATCCTTACATCCTAATATTTCTGCAACTTTCATATGAATACTGCAGGAGACCGCATGAGTGAAACATTAGATAAATGTCCTCTTTTTAGAGCACAGTGCTGCCCATTTAATTATTTTTCTCTTCCCTCATACATCAGTTCTTCCTAGGTCATAGTCAATCTTGTAATCCATATCTTAACACTCTCTAGTTTGTTTTTATTTTTCTAGCAATTGGTGTCTCTTACTGCATGAAAAGTACACAGCTACAACTAGGGTCTGCCTTTAAGAAAATCTCTAACAAATCAAACTGGCAGTGGAACAATGACAACTGTGACCTATCACTGATTAATGTCTGAATTTCTGTCTACTATTAGGTCTATATCACATGTATCATGAGGTTTTCCATGTTCAATTTCTCAATACTATGCATTATAGAATGTTTTGTGCACAAACATTTAGTTAATGTTTTCTGGGATAATTTTTATCTTATTTCTTGCCAATATTTGTAATTTCTCACCGACTTCATATAACTTGCACAATTTTATCATTGTAAATATTTTCAGATTACACAAGTCATTCACAGTTATTGGGTTTATCTTTTCTCCAAATTCAAGGTAAATGTAATTTACAATGAACTGTTCTGACACCAACCTCAAAGCAACCTTGGCTAGAATTAGTGTGATTTATAGATTTAAATCCAGTGCTTCCCAAACCTAGCATGCACACAAATTAACTGGGGTTTCTGGTCAAGACACAGCTTCTGATTAGTGGGGAGAAGAGAATAGGGAGTTTGCATCTTTAACCATCTAAAGGTGATACATACACTGCTGGTCCATAGACCACACTGAGTCAGGAGGTCCCAGATAGATTCTCATTCAAGGAAGAGTAAATCGCTACCTTTTTAGAGTAAATTGAATCTTTTGTTTCAAAATTAAGAAGGCTTAAATCAAATGAAGTCTAAGTTGGATGTTTTAATAAAAATATAGGATACTTATAGCTTAGTATTAAAGGTAGAGCAATATATTTCCTACATGGTAAGATATGGGTAAGATCTTACTACAGGTAAGACAGCATATTTTGAGACCTTGGTTATATAAGGTCTATAAATCAACAGCTGATTCTGACAGCGTATAGTGAATCATGTAAACACTCTGCAGTTCTGCTTTCACAATAATAAATAAATGTTAAAGGGTGAAACAACAAGGATGGAGCTAGAGTATATCGTACTAAGCAAAAAAAAAAAAGGCAGATAAAGACAAATACTGCATGATTTCACTCATATGTGGAATTTCAGAAACAAAAGAGCAAAGGGAAAAGCAAAGAGGGAGAGAGGCAAACCAAGAAACAGACTCTTAACTATCAGAACAAACTCCCAGAGGGGAGGTGGGGTGGGGGAATTAGGGGATGGGGATTGAGGCTGCATTTGTTGTGATGAGCTCTAGGTGATGCATGGAAGTGGTGAATCACTACATTATATGTCTGAAACTAACATTACACTGTATGTTAACTAACTGGAATTTAAATAAACACTTAAAAAAAGGAGTAATTATACTGTTTTTACTTTCGTAAAAATGTAAAAGAGAAAAACCACTGAAAGCATGGATAACTCTTATTTATCCAAATAATTAAAGAAATGGCAAAGAAGTTTCAGAACAATGAACAACCTCAAAATCACTTCTATACTATGGACCTCACTGAGGCCCATTTAAGGGGTTTGAAGAATGCAGTAAGCAAAAGGTGGATTCATCACTGGAGCATCACAGAACCGAAAGAGCACAGTTAGCTTTGTAGTGTATTCTGGGGCTTAGGTGGAACTGGTGGTTTTTAATCACCCTACATTGAAAAAGCATAAATCAGGGAAGGCTGAAATCCTATTCTATCTTACTTATTCTAGCATACTGATATCCCCATTGCTCTAAACTGTAGCATATTTTAATTAGGAGAAAAATGAAGCAATTAGCAAAAGTCTTATCTCCCACTTTTTTTGGTGACAAAGCCAGCAAGAGTGGGAAAAAATTAAAGATTCTATCTGGGAAAGCACACAAATAGTACCATTAGGCAAGATGTTTCCTAAACCACGTGAAACACAAGACAGTATCATCTCTAACCGGGTGGCTCAGTCGGTTAAGAATCCAACTGGGCATGATTTCACCATTTGTGAATTTGAGCCCCGCATTGGGCTCTGTGCTGACAGCTCAGAGCCTGGAGCCTGCTTCAGATTCTGTGTCTCCCTCTCTTTGCTCCTCCCTCACTGGTGCTCTTTCATTCTCCTAAAAATAAATACACATTAAAATTTTTTTAAAAAACACACACACACAAGACTACAGGAGATCTCCCAAGCACTATGCCTGATCCAGTCTAATTCATCCTACCCTGATGGAGAATTGTTCCTTTCTACAAGGAGCATTTGCTACAGCTTATTCTAGCTTCAACTCATCTCATCCTCAGATCCTTGATAAGGAGAATGCCTGCAGACAGTAGGCTATAAATATTTGTTAAAGGGAAAAAATATTTACGGTTGCCTGGGAGGCTCAGTCAGTTGAGCACCTGACTTTGACTTAGGTCATGATCTCAGGGTTCATGGGTTCAAGCCCCACATCAGGCGATGCACTGACAGCTCAAAGCCTAGAACCTGCTTCAGATTCTGCGTCTTCCTCTCTCTGCTCCTCGCCCACTCATACTCTGTCCCTCTCTCTCAAAAGTAAATAAACATTAAAAGTTTTT